TTATATGTTCTCTTCTGAAACTCCTATTAATTGTATGTTGAACCTTCTGGACTGGTCTCTAATATTCCCAACTTTTTCCTTCTATTTTCCATCTTTTTACTTCTTATTTATTTATTTATTTATTTATTTATTTTAAGTAATCTCTGCACCCAACTGGGGCTTGAACTCATCACCCCAAGATCAAGAGTTGCATGCTCTACTGACTGAGCCAGCCAGTCTCCCACATCTTTTTGCTTATTATTCTATTTTCAGGGAGATTTGCTCAACTTTATCTGTTACCCCTATTGAATTATTAATTTCTGCATTCATATTTTTAATTTTCATAAGCTCTTTCTTCCATGAATGTTCTTTTTTTTTTTTTATTTGACAGAGACAGAGAGTACAAGCAGAGAGAGGGGCAGGCAGAGGGAGAGGGAGTTGCAAGTTCCCTTCTGAGCAAGGAGCCCGTCGCAGGACTCGATCCCAGGACCCCGGGATCATGACCTGAGCCAAAGGCAGACGCCTAACGGACTGAGCTACCCAGGCACCCTCCTTTTTTTTTTTTTTTAAGATTTTATTTATTTATTTGAGAGCGAGAGCATGAGATGGGGAGGGGGGAGACAAGCAGAGGGAGAGGGAGAGGAAGGAGCAAACTCCCCGCTGAGCAGGGAGCCTGATGTGGAACTCAATCCCAGGACCTGGAGATCTTGGCCTGAGCTGAAGGCAGACGCCTATCCAACCGAGCCACCCCAGTGCCCCATGAATGTTTTTTTTATAGCACTATTTTCTTTTACTTTCACAAATACATTATCTTTTATGTATTTTTTAAAGATTTTATTTATTTATCTGAGACAGAGAGAGAGAGCACAAGCTGGGAGAAGGATCAGAGGAAGAGGGAGAAGCAGGCTCACCGATGCGGGCCTTGATCCCAGGGTCCTGGGATCATGACCTGAGCCGAAGGCAGAAGCTTAACCGACTGAGCCACCCAGGTGCCCCAAATTCTCTGCCTCTTAAAAAGAAGTTTCAAGTTAGTTTTTTGGAAGTAATTTTGTTACCAAGTTTACAAATTTCTTTTAAGACAACTATTTGTTACCTGTGCTACTGGGAGAATGCAGTGATGCAATAATTCTTAGATTGCAAAATCTCTAAATCATTTGTATTTGCTATTGCAATATGGCTTTATTTCTGGGAGACTTACTCTTCTAATTTTGTTTGACTTTGGTTAATGTTAAAACTAGGTTGCACGATGTTAACATATAAAGAGGTGACTCAAACTGGAAAATCTCAACCACAAATTTTAAATTTTTGCAGCTATTCCACCAAATTTGTTTTTTACATAGCAATAATAAAAAATGTACTGTAATAATGTGTATGCTTCCTACTTCTGCATTTACTAACAATCCCTAAAGTGAAAAGGATCTCAAATTAGAGAAAGAATAGAATTGGAAAAATTGAATTGGAGTGTTCTGAGCCACCCTCTCATTCATTCCTGGAAGATGTAGGGTAGTTCAATTATTTTATAGTATTGGTGTCAATCAAAATCTTTTCTCAAATCTGATAAATATCTCCAACTAAGGTTTAATAGAATAATCAAGTTTACTTATTAGTTATCCTGGAGTCTTTGTATCTCAACAGGGGTCATAATATCAAATATCTATCTATGGCATTTTGGGCATCAGTAGGGAGTAAGAATATTTCAGGGAGCAGAACATTCTGTGCATTCATGAATTAAACAGGATTATAATGGTCCCCTTTGGAAAAATATTTTGACTTTGATCACAGGAACTGGATTTGAGATTTATCTTTACAAATTACTAATCTTAGGACCTTGGGTATACCTTGTTTAGTTATCTATTGCTTTTTTTTTTTTTTTAAAGATTTTATTTATTTGACAGAGAGAGACACAGTGAGAGAAGGAACACAAGCAGGGTGAGTGGGAGAGGGAGAAGCAGGCTTCCCGTGGAGCAGGGAGCCTGATGCAGGACTCGATCCCAGGACCCTGGGACCATGACCTGAGCCGAAGGCAGACGCTTAACGATTGAACCACCCAGGCGCCCAGTTATCTATTGCTCTTGTTTAGTTATCCATTGTAATAAGTCACCTCAAAACTGAGTAGTTTAAAATAACAATCATGCTTTATTTACTCAAGATTCCAGGGGGAATAAGGGACACCTGGCGGTTAAGTGTCTGCCTTTGGCTCAGGTCATGATCCTAGGGTCCTGGGATTGAGCCCTGCATCAGGCTCCTTGTTCAGTGGGGAATCCTGCTTCCCCTCTGCCTGCTGCTCCCCTTGCGTGTGCTCTTTCTCTCTCTCTCTGACAAATAAATAAATAAAAACTTAAAAAAAAAAAAGATTCCAGGGGGCATAAGTCCTTCATTCTTGAAGGAAAATCTGGATGGTACATCATGGTGGTCACCACAGGATCTGCGGCTTTTGGTAGAGAGACTCAGCCTTCTTGTCACAACTTGGCATGAGGAAGTTGGGGAATAAATGCTCCATCCTTACAGTCCTCCAGACTTCTGATCTCCTACCAGTGCTCTCTCCTATGGACCAAACCCAGGAAGTCATAGGACTCTGTGGGTTTTGAGTCACAGAGCAGGGTGGAGAAGGGTGAAGAGTGGATCTGGAGGGGCAACAGAAGATATTCAGCAGCAGAAGATGAGTCTAGCTTTTGAACATTAAAGGCATATTGAGTTAAATAATATCCTGATGCATGCTTCTTATTGGTGGATTAGAGTGTTCTGAGCCACCCTCTCATTCATTCCTTTCCTTGCTCCTTTGCTTTCATCCACCTCCTGATAAGTTAACCTCACTTTTCATTCTACCATTTAAAATAAACTCTGCCTCATTACTTCAGCTTAAAACATGTTCTAGTTCATGAGTTTGGCTTTTCTCCTGACTCTATTTTATTTTTTCATCCTTCATTCAGCTCCATACACCCACCTACTAGCCTGGTAATATTCTTCATCCAACCTCTTCCCAGGCACCTTTCTTTCCAAGCACCAGCCCTCTGGAGAATCTTTCTTCCCCCAGCCTCTTATCCTGGCTTCTTGATTAAGACTAGAAAGAGGTAGGTTTAAAGGTATTGAGGTAGGGCACATGAGAGATGACATGAGGGTGGAGACCAAGGGTATGAGGGGAAGGTTCAGTTTGGTGGATCTCTGTCTATGCTTACTACAGTGTGCTTTGTGAAGCTATTATCCAAGGGTAAAATGAATTCATGGCCTGTCCTCACATTCATTACTTCCAACATACTCTCCCATTCTGTCTAATATATTCTGATAAAGTCCTACCATTTAACTTCAATAATTATCTCTTCCTTGAAACTCTTTGGCTTCCATACATTTCTGCCCCCGGATACACTTCATTCTTTTCTACCTGGTCCTCAGTTTCTTCGACTACTTTGGTAGACAATCCCTCTCTCCTCTTTCCCCTCAATCACATTTTTCTCCCCTTTGCCTGATAGCCTTATTAAATATATTCTCTACGGGCATCTTATTTTTTTTCTCATAGCCTCAACTATCACTCATATGTGTATGACTCCTAAATCTGAATCTCCTTCCCGAACTCTCTTTGGGATTCCATTCCAGAGTTCCAGTGGCTGGTGAGATGAGACCACAGCACTTCTTCCCAAGCTGGTACTAAAATGTGCTTTCAGGTTTCTTTTTATCCTTTTTTTTTTTTTTTTTTTTAAACTCGTCCTCAATCTGTTTTGGTTGTTTTCATATCATCCTGGCTTCCTTTAGCCAGTGTTAAAACAAACTTAACTATCACCAAATTGCCCTGCAGAGATGTCATTTTATACCAAAAGCTCTCCCTCTCCCCCTGTTTTCATCTTCACAAAATTTCCTTTTCAAGAACTCAAAGGAAACACTTACCCAGAAGACAATCACTATTTTATTTTCCTTTAAAGTATTTAACATGCTAACTACCAAATATTTACATTTTAAACGTAAGCCTAATTGAGGAGCTGTGTGTCTCTGTGTGGGAGGAGGGATAGTGGCAAAGTGTTGAGGAGTCTGTTTGAAACCCTACGGTCTCTAACCGGAGAAACTGAAAACATAGCAAACAAGCACTCCGCTCTGAGAGGGGTTGGACTAATTCACCCACTTTCTTCCCCAAATCATTTGGAATTTCTTTGGGCATTTATCCGGAGAATGGTGTAAGGGATTGAAAGGACAAATTTAAGCAAGAACTAAGAAGTTAGACTCTCAAGACAAAATTAAAAAAAAAAAAAAAAGATCATTCTTATCCCGCTCTTTTATATCTCACATTCATAGACTTTTAAAAGCACATTTAACCTACAGGTATCCAAGGAAACCGACCAAAGGGAAATTAGAAAGGAGAAGCATTGCAGTACCATTTCTATGCGAATTGATGTCTGATTTTCACTAGTCCAGCACTGTTTTTCCTCCCACGTCTTGGTGTTTATTACAGCAACAATTACCTCAGTAACAATTCCTCCAGGCTAGTTTTGTTTAAAGGTGTCTAACTTACATAATTCACCCAACTGTTTTCAAAAACGTTCAGTCCTTCATGTTGGAAGTTAAAATACTATCTTTATCTCGCGTCTGGTTCTGCACCAGAAGCTTATCCCCAGCCGGGCAGTGCCACGAAAGCTCATGTGCACCTTGGCCGCAAGGTGCTTTAAAACAGCCAAGAGCCGGTGCGTGTTTGTGTGCCAGATTATGAGTCCTGCAACCTGGGTACATAAGAAGGATGCTTTCTCCCTCCCTTTCACACTAAAAACAAAACAAATCCAGCAGGTATCAAAACCGTCCGAACGCCTAGGGAAAGCGCGCCAACCACACAAAGAAAAGGCGGGGGGCTACTGGGATTCAAAATCTTTTCCCCAGGACGAACACCCTCCCGGACCTATCGGAGTTAACTGCGCGCTTGGTCGTAGCCAATAGACACAGCGCTTCTGGTTCAGGTCCACCCTGAAGACTGATGGACATTAATGCAGCCCAATGAAACAGTGCGATGCTAAAGAATTAACCAATACATTCGGAAGGTGGGTGGAGTGTAGGCCAGGGGGTTGGCGGTGCCGTGTCATGGAGGCTCAGTCTCAGAGCAGCCATTGAAGGGGAAGGAACTGCGGTGTGTGTGTGTGTGCGCGCGTGTGTGTGCGTGTGTGTGTGTGCGTGTGCGCGCGCGCGCGTGTGTGTGTGTGCGTGTGAGTGCGCGCGAGTGTGTGGACAAGGAGGTGGGGGCAGCCGAGTTAGAGTCCCAACTCCTTGGACTCCATTTGCTATTCTCTTCTTTCTCCCCCACACCTATCTGGAGGTGGTGGGCGTTTATATTTGCTTTTCTTTTCATTCATTTCCAAATCTTTTAAAATTTAAGGGTTGGGGGTAGTGGGAAAGGCAGGAAAGGGTAAGGGAAGGGAGTAGTAGCAGAAGAGCAGGAGGAGGACATGGAGATGAAAAAGAGGATTAACCTGGAGTTAAGGAACAGAGCCCCGGAGGAGGTGAGATGACTCAGCCCCCTCCCCTTCCCCACCAGACCTGTATTCAGAGGATCGGGTTTCTGGGGGTCGGGTGGGTGTGTGGGGAGGGGTAATGAATTAACCCCCACCTGGGGTTAGGGTGGGGGGGGATATTTAATTTTAAGTGTTAAATCATTAAAATCTACTTAAAATGGCGAAGGGTTTAAGTTTCTAGGGGCGTTTTTGTGTGGCTGGGGGCTTAGCCTCTTTAGGCTCTCTTCAAGTCGGGAGTCCAGGCCTGGTGGGGGCGGGAAGCGGAGTGCTGGGGGCCGCTCCGCCGCTTGGTTCCCTCCTCCTCCCAGGGGCCGGCGGCGTGGGCGCGACCCCCCAGTCCCACTTGCCCCTGCCGCAGCCATCGTCGCCTGAGAAGTTAGTCTAACTTTTCTGCAGTGCTGCCAACTCTTTCTTTTTTGGGGGGGGGTGTCCCCGGGCTCGAGGCCGCGGGTGTGTGACGTCGCGCCGGGCGCGGGCTGGGGTCCCTGGCGGAGTCTGAGGACCGCCCGCGGCCGGCGGCGCCCACTCCCCCGGGAAGCGGCGCGCGCCGAACGCCGCCGGGCGGAATCTGGGTCAGCGGTCGCTTCCCCCGCCGCGGGTAAGTTTTGGGAGTCGTCGCAGAGACCGGAGGTGGGGAGGGGACGCGAGGCGTAATCCTCTTCGTCCCCCCGCGGTGTGACGATATTCGGCGTGTCGTATCGTAGTGGCCGCAACTCTGAATTTGATCCCTGGAGAAGGTTTCACAAAACTCAACAAATCGGTCGTAGTAGTTTTGTGCTTTAAAGATGGATTCGGCGAAACTAAATGATGCGCTCTTGCTGCTGTCGCCTTAGTTAAAGAGACGGCCTTGGGAGGGGCCACGTGAGGCTGGTCGCGGTCAACTTTTTGGGGGTCAGACGGGAGGCGTTTCCGCCTCCTTTTCGAGGGCGCCTTCTCGGCTTCCCCCAGCCCTTCCCGCCCGGGGCGGAGGGGCTGGAAACCCGGGCCGGGAGGCGACCCGTCTTTCTCTTGAGGAGTCCCCGCCGCCTGTGGGGTTTTCCGTGGGTCGGAGCGGCTGGTCGCAAGAGCGGGGCGGGTGGCCAGCGAGGAACCTTGCACTTCAGACCGCAGGGGAAAGCGTCAAGAGTCTTGTTAATTGCGGCCTCTGAAATAAACACTCGAAGTGGAATATAAGGCATGTAGTTGTTTTCAGCAGGGGCGGGGGTGGTGCCTGTGCAAACCAGCGCAGAAGATGAGTAGGGTCTGTGTGGGGGGCTGTGGCGGCGTGCGGAGTGGGAACCCAAGGTCTTTATGTACTTTGTTTTCTTTATGTATCCCTGAAATTAGAAAAGGGCAAGGAGAAGGAAACAGTCGCTACTATCATCCCAGAGAGATCTGGGAGTTTTCTAGGGCCTACTCTTTGGGGGCTTCAGGAAAACAAAATCAGACTTTAAAAACTGCCTCTCAGGAGCACACATTTAGAATGCTTTTGTATGTCTTGGGTTGGAAAAGTAGATTTGCTCCCCTTTACCCTCTTTCATTTACCTACCCTACCAGTAGTAGTTTCCTTTCCAATTTTGGGGGGTGCCAGAGGTTGCCTTTTTGCAGCCTCTCCTTCCTCCCCTATGGTGTAATAACGGTCTCTTATATTTGTATAGCTCTTTACAGTTTACAAAACACTTACTGTGTTTATCATTTACTTTTCTCCTTCGGACAGACTTGTAAGGTGGATTGTATTGTTGTAGAATCCAAATTAGCAAACCGAGTCCCAGGGCAGTGAAGTTATTTACTCAAGTGGAAGAACTGGTTTTCTGATGCCAAATACCGGCGTTCTCCTCCGCTCAGCTGGACTAGGAGTCAGAAGATTGAGAGTGGAGGCACAGCTCTGTCATACTAACTGGATGACCCTAGCCAAGTCATTCTTATTCTTACCCTTTGGGCCTTGGCTTCCTTACCTCTAAACAGGAGATCATAGGCCTTCTCTGGTCTCTCAAATAATTATTTCAAAGTCATATTCAGATAGAGAAGGTGGCATTCCTTGTTAAGTTTTTAGCCCTCAAAATTCCTCAGACATATTTTTGCATTGGGAGTAGAGATCCAGGGTCTCCTGTCTCCCCCTTAGATTAAGTCCTTTTAGGTGCACACCAGCAAGTTTTGTTCTACAGCTCTGACCTAATAGGGGGATGCACCCCGCCCCCCCCCCAACCATGGGGAAAAGTCCGCAAAAATGCTACCAGGGTGTTACAGAGAAATAACATTTTGTCAAGGATGTATTGTTCTGGGTCACATTGTTTGGCCCTGCTATTAAGAACAAATAACCTCCCTTAGCCAGCTTTCTCAGAATGAGCTTTCTAACATTTCTTCATGAAGGGTAACAAGGTATTTTTGAGTTATGGTGGCATTTATCAACCAAAGATAAGGGGGTTTAAACTTGAAACGTGAATAAAATAGTTTCCTTTTTTCTCCCTGCTGTTTTAGGGCAGCTCACTTGAACCCTTTCCCAGTAGCCTAGTCATCCCCTCACTGCATAAATATATGCCCTAATGTTGAGAATCCTCATCAGGGGCAGAAGTAAGTTTCACATGGGACTTTTTTCAAAGTTTTATTTTTTATGCATCAGTGATTTGAGCAGGCATTGAACTTCTTGGTCTAAGTTTAAATTTAAAAGGTTAACTTATAATGATGACTTTAGGTTGTCTTTCAGTTTTTGGTGGGGGAGGAGAGAAAGAATCTTTGTAATGGGATTGATGGTTTTAATATTCACATTTCCAGTGTGTCTTGACCCAGGTCTTTTGCTAAACAGACTGCGAAGTAAAGAATCATTCATTTTCTGTCTTACAGGTGACAGAGTTAGTCCTTGATAATTGCCTGTGTGTCAATGGGGAAATTGAAGGCCTGAATGATACTTTTAAAAAACTAGAGTTTCTGAGTATGGCTAATGTGGAACTAAGTTCACTGGCCCGGTTGCCTAGCTTAAATAAACTTCGAAAGGTAAGTTGGTATTAAGTGTGAAATCATCATAATTTTGATGCCAAGGGCTAATACGTCTAGGTTTTGGCCAAATGAAACAACCATTCTGCCTTTTAATTAGAAGATTCTAAATTTCTAGAGATAAGAAAATGGCTTATGTAGGATTTTAGAATCAGCTCTAATACCGCTTTTAGAAATTTAAACTTAATAATGAAATTGTGTTTGACATGAATTTGGGTTTAATATCTATCAAATGTTTTTCTCTGAAACATAAAATCTATCTGTAACACATCTGGAGCCAAACTTAGAAGCTTGTTATGTAGGATTTCTAATATATTATTTGGTGATTATAGGTGGGAATTTGGAAGTTAATAATTTGTGACAGTCTCTTGAAGCCAGAGAGAATGACAGTTGTTTTTCTTCTTCAGATTGATATATTTTAAAAATCTGGGGATGCCTGGTTAGCTCAGTCAGAAGAGCATGCGACTCTTGATCTCGGGGTTGTAGGTTTGAGCCCCACATGGGGTGTAGAGGTTATTTAAATAAATAAAAAAACTTAAAAAAATCTGATCTGCCCTAAGCTTTCACCATTGTTTGTTTTTTCTCCATGTTGAATATGTAGTTGGAACTTAGTGACAATATAATTTCTGGAGGTTTGGAAGTCCTGGCAGAGAAATGTCCAAATCTTACCTACCTCAATCTGAGTGGAAACAAAATCAAAGATCTCAGTACAGTAGAAGCTCTGGTGAGTGGAAGGTCTCTGGACTTGCTCTTTTTTGGTTGATTTTCTGAGATTTGCTTGTGTTTTATCTTACTGATTTATATTTCACTCTTTGAAACTTCTGAAATTTCTTATGTTTTTATCTAGATGGTTATTGCTTTCCTTTCTCTTAGAGTAAAACATTCAGATAAATCTGTGAGAAATTTATTTTATCGTTAACTTCAGGAGTTGAATATCTGGTTTCAAACTTCCCAGTATTTTCTTAAATTCTATTCTTTTTCCTTCCTTCTTGATTTTTTTTGTTTTTTGAGTTATTTTATTATTTGCTCCTTTGTTTCCTGGTATGAGATGAAATGAAACTCAGAAAATTGTTGCTCCAATTTTAAAAAAGCTTGGGAGGAGGTTGAAAGTATTGACAACAAGCTTGACAGGATTTAAGCTAACCACATTATTGTTGTTGCCTATTTATGCACATATCTGGTCAACAAAATACATTGAGTGGCTACTATAGTAAGGCACTAAGCCAGGTGCTGGAGATTCAGTGGTGAACAAAACAAAGTTCCTACTCTTGCGGAGTTTATGTACAGGGCCTCATTAAGAGAATTGATGTGGGGGGCGCCTGGGTGGCTCAGTCGGTTGAGCGTCTGCCTTCGGCTCAGGTCTTGATCCTGAGGTCCTGGGATCAAGCCCCACATCACGCTTCCTGCTCAGTGGGGATCCTGCTTCCCTTCTTCTCTTCCCCCACCCCCGTCATGCTCGCTCGCTTGCTCACTCTCTCAAATAAATAAATAAAATCTTTAAAAAAAGAAATAATTGATACAATAAGCCCTTCATTATAAAATTTGAAAAATCCAAAAACCAGCCTTTTGATTTCAAATATATGTTTTCTGGTTCATGAATTAAAAAGAAATATAGTATTTAAAATCTCGAAATGTAAGTTTTAACTTTTTACTTTTCCAGCAAAATCTTAAAAATTTGAAAAGTCTTGACTTGTTTAACTGTGAGATCACAAACCTGGAAGATTACAGAGAAAGTATTTTTGAACTGCTGCAGCAAATCACTTACTTAGATGGATTTGATCAGGAGGATAACGAAGCACCAGACTCAGAAGAGGAGGATGATGAGGGTAATCATTCTTAATGCTTATAAATATAGGCTCCAGCCTAGCCATGCAATTTAGATTGGGCCTGGATATTTGGGTGTTGAAAAAAAAAGATAGTAAGACAAGAAAAATTACAAATCCACAGCCCTAATCCTGTATTTCTTCTTTTAGATTTCTGATAGGGGAATTTAATGATTATTATACTATCAAGCTCTGTGAAATTTTATATCTCTAGAAACTTGTTTAACCACCACCTAGTAAAAGTGGGAACTTTTAAAATAGTACCTTTTTAAAAAAAATAGTACCTTTTTTTTAAAAAAAGGAATCATTCCTTGTAGTGTTATCCATAATAATTAAGAAATAGAAACACCCTGAATGGCCTGTCAACTGATGGATAAATGAAATGTGATATATCCATACAATGAAATATTATTCAGTCATAAGAATGAATGAAGTACTGATACATGTTATGGCATTGAAAACATTCTATGTAGTGAAAGAAGCCAGACACAAAAGGCCACATTTTGTGTGACTCCATTTGTATGAAATGCCTATGAATAGGCAAATTCATAGAAACAGAAAGTAGAGTAGTGGTTGCCAGTGGGTGAGAGGAGAATGGGGAGTGACTATGAATGACTATGAGTTTTTTTGAGGTTGGGGGGGTGGGGTGGGGTGGTGATGGAAATGTGTTAGAATTAGGTGATGAATATATATTATTGGATAAATGGGTGACTAACAGATGATGGAATGGCTGTTATTAGTAATGGGACACTGTTACTCTTGGTTGAAAATTTTTTTACTGTAAAAAGAAATCTGATAGATAAACAATATTAGAAAATGATAGAATGATAGAGAAGCGGGTTTTGAAGTGTCCACAAGGTAAAACAAACTTTAATGCATGTAATGTTTCGATGAAAATCTATACACTGGAAATATTTCAGTATTTAGAAACCATATTTCGGGGTGCCTGGGTGGCTCAGTCGGTTAAGCCTCTGCCTTCAGCTCAGGTCATGATCCCGGTGCCGGGATCGAGTCCCACATCGGGCTCCCTGCTGAGCAGGGAGTCTGCTTCTCCCTCTGCCCTTCCTCCTGCTTGTGCTCTCTCTTGGTTGCTCTCTCTCTCAAATAAATAAAATCTTAAAAAAAAAAAATAGAAACTATATTTCTCAAGGCACCTGGGCAGCTCAGTTGGTTAAACGTCTGCCTTCAGCTCAGGTCATGATCCCAGGGTCCTGGGATCGAGCCCCACATCATCGGGCTCCCTGCTCAGTGGGGAGTCTGCTTCTCCCTTTTCCTCTGCCCCTACCCCCAGCTTGTTCTCTCTCTCTCTCAAATAAATAAATAAAATCTTTACTTTTTTTTTTTTTTTTCATTTGAAAATGTTTTGGTGGGCAC